AGACAGAAGGAGCCGTGTTCTGGAAGCCAGTGTGTCCAGCAGCAGAACCTTCAGGGACCAAGCAGGACTATGGCTTCCATTTGTCCTTTCCCGTGCCTCTCTCCACTTGTTACCTAACGGGAGGGCACCCAGACCTCAAGGTCAGGAAGCCAAAAGTTTTCTTGCAAACTACAAATAATGAAAATGCGCGGTGAGAGCTTCCTCCCTGGGTGACCCCCGTCCTTCCAGTCACCTGTGACCTGCTTCCCCAGCTCTCTGTGCACACAGCCCGGGTGAAATGTCTCATGGGGATCCGTGCACGCTGGGCACCTCGATGCAGGAGGACCAGGGCCTGCCACGTGGAGATAGGACACAAGACCTCTAGTACAGCAACAGGCTTGCCGACCTGGAAAGATCACCGTGGAAACGGGGGCAGCAGCGGGATGCAGGACCCGCACCCGGCAGGGGAGATGCCGTCCAGGCCCCCTCTTCACCCGCAGCCCCTCCCCTTTCCTAGCGATGCCAGGGCTTGGTCTTTTTGCTGAGGTGCTATGGGCAGTTGCTTCACTCTGTACTATTTCTCAGTGCTGAGACTGGATAAGAACAACCACACAGGCCTGTGGGGCGAGTTTCCAAAAAAGGTCACACACTCTGCCCGTGATGGCAGATAGCCTCAGCCCAGGCCTACCCAGCCTCCACAGGAGCCCACTTACCTCGTCAACCAGCTCAGCTTCCAGGCCACCTGCCAGAGCACCCAGCTCACCCAAAGACACTGGAAGCTTGCACCATGTTACCAAGTGTTTTCCCAAAACTCCGGGAGAACTGAAGGCGAGGCTTCAACTCGAGTTCACTTCCAAATATACCAGAAATAACTTCTGTTATAAGACAGTTCTACTATTTTAGATCCTATGAATCATGCCACATGGACATGCTCAGAGTGCTATTAAAAACAAGCAAAAACCAGCAGTGAGAAGGGACATCCAGGTGAGCCTAGGAGAACTGGCTGTGGTCACCCACGGGCAGGTGCTTATTACTGGCTGGGTTGTGACCCGTGCTTCCTGGAGGACCAGGGGAGGAGTCGACTGACATAGGAAGGAGACCCTGGGCCCCCTGAGCAGCTCCTGGAGATCACTGTGATTGAAACTGGATTCCCAAGAAGGCTCTCTCTCACACGCATCCCAGACCAGTTAACAAACTCAGACACAAAGCAGCTAAAAACGTCATCCCCAATTATCAGCCCCCCTTGAAGCACAGGTTTCCACAAGAATAGCATCACTGATCAATAGCAACCCACCCCTACCCGAGGAGCCCTTTCTGAGAGACGCTCGCCAGCCCAGCAGGAAGAGCGTGTGCAGAGCGCTTCATACTTCAGGGTTAATTATTTGTCCTTTTTCCCCCGAGCCAATGAGAGCTTGACAAAAGTATGAAAGCTGTTGCTGAATTCCAAAAGGGCTGAAGAATCAGCTCTGTGGGATTCCTCACAGCAGCGCTGGGTCTTGATTGCTTTTGTCTTGGTGAGGGAGAAATTTCTAGCATGAGGGCCAAAGGATGACCTCTGCTCTTCTTCAAAGAGAAAGAGTTTTCTGCAGGCGAATATTATCACTTTGTTTTAGACTACTGATAAGATGGCAATTTGTTATTATTAACATTAAAGTAAAATCAATAAAGAGGTAACCAGGACTCACACACACACACCCTACAGAGCTAAAAGTTCGTATGCATCCTGTGAGTCATTTTCCATTTAAAATGACAGGCATGACATTTGTCCTGGTGTATGCAGAAAAGTTTTAGAATGCACTGAAAAACTTTGTGGTGGATTTTCAGTTTTTGTCTTAGTTATCAAACTTAAAATTTTAACGTCATCTTATAAAAAACTCTTGGAAGCATTTTAATTTCCAAGGTGATATCTGCTGTACCAAGAATGTCACAAAATGATCAAGGAAATAACTCTAAAGCAATTCAGGTTATTACTTTCTCAGTGAAATGCCGATGCAGGCCCGGGCTCCTTTCGGGTCTGCTGATATTCTCAGCACAGGCGATGCTGTGGGTCCTTCCTGTAACACCAGCCAGCTGAATGGAGCTGTAGAACTTGCCACACGTTATGGGCACTTTATCATTATTTTGATGACTTCAAACATACAGAATTGATCCACAAGGCAGAAGGGGCAGAGCTGACTGTCAGCAGCTGACTCTTGCGGAGCACACACTAAACCCTGTGGAGTACAGACACCAAATGAGCCGCAAGAGTTTGGCAGAGACACCCAACAGCCGTGGGTCAAGAGATAGGCGCCTCCCTGCACCAGGACCCACCTCACAAAGCAGCTCTGTGGGAGGGACACAGCCAGGAACCGCACTTAATGAAGTCGTCAATGGAGAGACACTGAGCGGAGGAGGGTCAGACACAGCACGGCCCCACCACTGGCCATGCCCAAGGCAGAGAAAGTAACATCCCTCTGCCACTGAGCAGCATCTCCGTCATCTGGAAAACTGCGTCGCAATGAACTATCTTCCAAGTCCTGTCGGCAATTACAGTCTACAATTTCAAAGATGAAACAGGATATCAACTTTCATCAGAAGTCAGCTTTCTAGGACCAAGTACACAAACATCTTGTCCTGTTCATGTGTTTTCTCATCCCTAACAGAAGGGTTAGAGGTTTCAACAGAAACTTTTTAAAAAGGAGCATAAATAAAAACACAAACAGGCTGACTCGGGCTGCAGAACTGGCGCGCCCACCGGGAGCCGGAGCCACTGTAGCATCCCTGTTCTAGGGTGCAGGCCCCACCGGCTCCCGAATCCAGGGCGCTTGGTGGAGCTCCTATCACACCCAGCTCCTCTCAAAGGACGGTGGCTGACACTTGGTCTGAGTTAAAAGGCTGTAGTAAGCGAATCCACACAGAAAGAGGCAATTCTGAAGAGAGGAAGTGGAGGGTGAGGAGGAGGGATGGCGGAAGCTTCAGAGCCACTGTCTAAACGAGACTGTCGGGGGAGGAGGGGACCAGGTTGGCATGCCATCGGGGAGGGCAGCCTCAGCCCAGACAGGGACAGGGAGGTCGGTGCACACACCTACAGACTCTGGAAGGGCAAGCAGTCCGACAGCAAACTCTGCTGGACCACTCAGGCTGGGCCCTCTGGCCTCAAGACGTGGGCGATCTGAAATTGTGGGAGGCCATAAGCAGAGATCTGAATACCAGCGCGTGGCTGGTGGGGGTCAGCTCAGGCCAGGGAGATGATAGGGTGAAGGCCACCGTGCACTGGCCAGCAAGGTGGGAAGGGGTCGAACTTGGTGAGAAGACAAGTGACCAGGGGCTGCACACAAAAAGACAGTCACGTTCACCAAGAAACATCGCTAAAGAAACACCTTTTAAAAACCCGAATAGAAACCTGACTGGTTAAGGACGTAGGCTGGCCGAGGCTGGCTTTGACTGGTGATTCGTGGTTATGGGTTCAGGAAAAGACTAAACTCTGTGGGCTCCTGCTTGCCACTGGGGATGCAAGTTTACAGAATAAACTATTTGAAAACCTGTGTTTCTTCCGTGTGGCAAACATGCCCCCCGAATCACATTTGAATGTGATGCTGGTTGTTTACCAAATCCATTTAGAGATGGTTAATGGCTGTTTTAACCACACGGTAACTCATTCTAGAATCGCTGCAGAGGTCCACTGGGCACCTCTCCCGGATTCTGTTTCTCAGAGAGTGGAAGGGGTGGGCATTCACATGTTAATACACTGGCTGCAGTTGAGCTGGGCATGAAAAATGTATGAACTGTACAGTATGTAAATCACCCCCCAATGAAGCTGTAAAAAGCATCACTGGCGTACGGTACTAGGATTTTATGTGAGCACCATGGCCTGTTACCTGGCGGCCGTTTGCAGGGAGGTCCCCGCACCAGGTAGGCTCTCAGCCAGTGCTTCTCAAAAGCATGGGTGCCAGCGAGCTGCTCGGTGGGCTGGGTGAGGCCGTCATCCTGCCATCCCCAGGCTTGCAGGCTCTGCCCCAGGCCGGCTGGAAACCACAGACACGCCAAGGGCCGAGGTCCTTGGAGTACTGCCAGGGAAGAGGAAGGTCACCCTCCCGTTCCCACTGAGACACCTCCCAGGGAGAGGTGGGTAATAAGCAAATGTACAAATAAAAGCTCGAGCTGGTTCACCGTGGGTACTTCAGCACAAAGCAGCCCAGCCGGCCTCCAACCCCACCACTGCCCGCCCCAGGGACCAACTCAGGCAACTGGGGACCTCGCGCCAGACTCCTGTCACTCCCTGACACCCCGAGGAGGGACACAGTGTCCTTCCCACTATTACACAGAAACAGAGGAGGTTAGGGATCAGAACCTCCCCGAAGGCAACCCGGCCCCAGGCCTGCATCTCACGCCTGCGTCACAAGGCACAGAGGGCTGCAGCTCCCGTTCCCCCAGGGGTGAGATGGGAGCTGAGGGATTTGTACCCAGCCCTGTGTCCTCAGGCGGTGCCCGGCAGGCTCTGCCCTCTCTGTGCGCCCAGGGCAGGCTCGCGCTGTCCGAGCGCTCTGGGCACCGGCAGCCGCTCACTCAGCTGCCTTCCCTCTCTTCCTGCTCATGACAGAGGCGCCCTTCTCAGGGTCCGCTTGTCCTCCCCTCCCCAGGGTTCTGAAGTCCATCTTCAGTGACCTGAAGCAGAGATCTGTCTCTACGTCCTTTCTTTCTCAGCTCCCTAACGACATTGCTGAACAAAATAAAATCCATCACCACCCTCACCGACAGCCTCAGGCTGGGCTCCTTCTACACCAGGCACCTGGCCCCACGGGCTGCATTAGCATCGATCGTACCCTGGTTCTGGGCAGAACACACCAGGGAAGCAGACACATGTGGGGGAAACACGTGAATACCCATAACGCCTTTGTGTGAACACGGACAGCATATGCCAGCACATTTAAACAAGAGTGACGTGCACATGCCTGTGGCCATCACTTCCCTTTATTTTTAGCATCTCTGATTTTAAAAGTCATCTCCCAAGGGGCGTTTCTCAGCACCGCATGGCAGTCTGACTGCCAGGACAGGAGCCGGGGACGGGAAGGGAGCGACATTTCCAGGGCTGTCCTTCCCCACGGCATATGCATCTGTCTAACGTCACATTGTACTCCTGCACAGCTTCCATAAAGTCGAGTTTCCCTCCTCATTTCCACCAGCCTTTTCAGAGACCAGTGCCTCCGGATCTCACACCCTCCCAAAGAGCACTTGGTTTGGTGAGGCTGAGCAAGCCCTCTCTTCCCAAGGCCCGGTGGCACTTCCCAGCCCTGCTTCTCAGGGCCAGCACGCTGGAGGGGTCATCCAGGGCTCCCTTGACGCAAGCCTGGAAGTTGCAGGTTTTACAGAGCAGGAGAACAGGGAGGGAAAGGTAGGTTCCAGCATGCAAACGGCCCCAGTGTTTGAACAGCTATGCTCTCGGGATAATGATATCAAGTACACAAATCTGGTTTTAATGGCATGTTCAGAAGGGGGCAGAGGGCTGAGTGTGTAAGGAATTACGAACTTGGCACAGTAGCGCTGTTTATTTTAAGCTCTCTGGCCGCTCCATTGAGGATGTTTACTTAACCAGACTCTATTAACCATGCTAAAAACATTACTGCAGACTTTGTCCTCGTGAGCACATGTAATCGACAAGCTACACAGATAGTAAATCAAACAGGATCAGGCGACTTGGGACAGGCTGAGTGGACGCTGAGCGGGGCAGGTATCTTTTCACCGCGAGCTCCAAGAGTACTCAGTGGAACTGTTTCTAGGGGCGGAGGCCGGAGGGGCCTGGGCTGTGCCAGGCCAGAGACGCTGGTGCCCTTTCCCTGCTGCGCGGGGGAGGTGGTGGCAGCAGAATCCCAGGCCTGCAGCTGGCTGCATATTTGGCCTCCAAGTTCATGCCAACCCTGGCTGCTCTAAGGGTCTCTCTGGGACAGGTGCCTAAGCCCCCATGTCACCCAAGCCAGGAACTCAAAGACAGACACTCAGCCTCATATCTCCAGGTGAGGACAGGGGCTGTCTCAGTGCCTCCCCAGGCGGGCCCGCAGTCAGTCACCTGGGGCAGCTCGGTCATTTCTCCTGCCCCCTCCTCCTCTCCCTCTCCTCCCCTCCTCCCCTCCCCTCTCCTTCTCCTCCCCCTGTGCTCCCTCTTCCCTCCCCCCTCCTCTCCCTCCTCCTCCTCTACCTCTCCTCCCCTCCCCTCTCCTTCTCCTCCCCCTGTGCTCCCTCTTCCCTCCCCCCTCCTCCTCTCCCTCCTCCTCCTCTCCCTCCTCCTCCTCTGCCTCCCCTCCCCTCCCCCCCTCCCCTCTCCTTCTCCCCCCACCGTGCTCCCTCTTTCCTCCCCCTCCTCCTCCTCTCCCTCCTCCTCCTCTGCCTCGCCTCCTCCTCCCGTTCAGGCCCTCCTGCCTTCTCCTCCCCTCCCCTCTCCCTCCCCTCCCCTCTCCCTCCCCCTGCCTCTCCTTCTGTCTTTATCACCATGTTCTTTCTGGTCTCTGTCTCCATTCACCATTAGGGGAACTGAATTTACTTCTATTTTTAAACATTTCAGTGGTGGCTCCTGATAGATTGCTCAGCCTAATAAAAATATACTGAAAGACATATTAAAATATTTTGAACATGTCTATTTTGAATTTCAAAAATATCAGGTTCTCACAAAATAAGTTCCTGAAAGGCAGGAATTTTATTCTGTAAGAAGAAACAAGCATCTTTGCCACACCCTGTAATTATTTATTAAAGTCATCCTGGAGGACAAGGAACTGGCAGGCAGGAACAGCGAGGAGGAAAGGCCCACACGGTTATCTTTACTGTCTGTATAAATCTGAACCCGACAGGGATTTCAGGCGGTGGCTATCGCAGAAATTATCTGGTAGGTTCTTTTGAAGTTTGTTGAGAAAAACCACTCCAGACACAAACCCACTTTTATGGCATGTGGTTTTAGAGGAAAATAGATGGCTCTTCTGTAGTTGAAAAATGAGCACCCTAAAATATTTCTACCTATGTTAATAGCATTAATAGGGATTAACAGACAAAGTAATTAACCCGAGAGAATAGTTATAGGCCACATTATTTAAAAAGCACATATAATGAATTAATCAATAAAATGTAATTTTTAAGTGAAATGGCTTTTTGATATCCAAATATAGCCTCTAAGTATTTTATGAATTAGTCCTACATATGGAGTCGCACAAAATACGGAATACATACTGCTTTTTATGATAGTGCCTAAGGTCTAAATATAAACTTTTTGTTGGTAAACACAGCTTTGTTTCTTTATAATTTAGAAAGGAAGTGTAGAGGCTAATTAATCATCTGGACCGTTTGGAAAATGGCTAGGCTGTGTCCATCTGAGACTTTACTGAGGAGCACCGAGATTCTCCTAGGCCGAGGGAACTTGGGCCCGGAGACGCGGGCCGAGCTGCAGGCATCTCCTGTCTCTCCTCCTCTGTAAACAGGGGTCTGCATTTCACCAGCTTAACTCTTGAGAAGGGTTAGAGGAGATAAATCCTGTCACAACCCAAGCTCCGTACCTAAGTGCACTCAGCAAGCTTTGGCTTCCTTTCCTGGAGGGGTGGCTGCGCCTTCCTGAAGGACAACAGCCACTCTGGGCTGCAGGGACAGCCGTCCCGGAGCCGTGGGGCATTTTACACAGGACTGCAGCCGCTCAGCCGGACCAGCAGGAGCAGGAGGAGGGGACAGCAGGAGGGAGGACGGGAGAGGGCTGCGCTCGGCGTTAAACCAACTCCAATCCGAGGCAAGGACAAACTGGCAAAGCAACACAGGTGCCTGAATCTACAGGTGAAAACAAACCCCACCCTGAAGGCACCTGTCACAGCCACACCGGACCAGAGACCCGAGCCTGTCCGGCCGCCCATGGGGCATCTGAGGAGCAAGAGCATCGCACACCATCTCAGGGTCCCTGAGGATGGAAGACCGGAGGCAGAGGCACAGGGACCCCGTCAGAACCTGGGCCAGGCTAAGCCTGTGACAGGGACAGCAGGTGACGCCAGGGCCTCTGCCTGGAAACCGGACAGGCTGGCAGGGAGAGGGCTGAGGAGAGCTCCTGCCCCCCTTTCTTGTCTCGCCATGTTTAGATTTAGCTGATGGCAGGACATCTAAGTAAAGACGTCCTGTAAACAGAAGGAAACCCATGACGGGGGACAGAAAGGTCAGGCGGGAGAGCGGATCTGGAAACCATCTGCCAGGCGGGACACCGCCCTGCCCCTCGGCACAGCCGCCTCAGCCACAGGCACTGTGAGGTGTGCTGCATTCTCTCTGGGATCAACGGAGTGCCGACACCTTCTGAGGATAGGGACTCTCAGAGACTGACTCAGTTCCTGCAGTTGGAGGCCAGCAGAGCCTGGAGGGGACTCCGCAGCCCGGGGCTATGGCACAGTAGGGTCCTGATTTCCATCCATGCGATGAGCACCCATAGACCCTCGGGAGGGAGCACTGCAAGCACCACAGCTCTGTGCGGGCGTCAGTGTTATTTTCAGATGGGCCATTATTTCATTATTTCGTGGCTGTAATTTAGATCCATGTTTTATGCTTAAAGTATGCACACTTGATTTTTTTGTGTGTGTTGTACCAGGGATTGAACTCATGACCTCACACTTGACAGGCAGGTGCTTTAGCCACTGAGCTAAATCCCTGGCTGTACACTTGAAATGACTTACTCCAAACAAAGAAAATGCCAGCAGTAGATCACCACAGTCTTCTTACAAACCACGTGTCCCTGTAAAAACACCAAGCTGATGTGTCTAAAGGGATTCACACTAGAAACATGTCTGCACTTTAGGAGAAATCAGAATAACCTATAGGGAATATAGGATTATTTTCCAAACTTAACTGTAGGATATATGAGATTCCTACTTTTTTAAGGTGACTTATGGCCAATTAATAATACACTTAACTTGAAATGTACAATATAAACTAGAGAAAAAAGGTACGCTTTCCAAGTCACTTTTTATATCCTTGAATAAAACCCAAAGAAATACTAAATAAAAATAGTAGAAACCCAGTATAGTCATAAAATATGTTTGGGTGTTTATTTAGAAAATCCTTCAATTACTCTCTTAATAATTACTCCAGCTGTACAGTTCACCCCACTGACAACAGGCAGATTCACTACACTATCAGTTGTACATTTGGTTTTACTTTGGTAGCAGATTATTAAATGATTATATAGCCCATCGCCGGTAAGTCCAAAGACACAAGATGGTATTTCCCAAGAAAGGTCAGTCTATCTTTAGTCACCTCTCTTGGTACGTTCATTCATACACAACATTGCCACGGAATTCCCTTATCCATATTGGCTTCTATTTTACCTCTAGGGTCACACAAATCAGCCCTCGGGCCTGGTGACCTCGCAGTCTTGGAAGAAAGCTACCAGGCCCCATGGGCGTTTCCTGCCCTCGTCCCTTGCTTCTGTAACCTGTCCCCAGTCCCGCTCTTCTGCTTTGCTCCAATCTTGGGTATTCTTCAACGTGGTGTGGTGCTCTAGAGTAGAGAGACTCAGCTCAGGACTTGGAAAAGTCTGCATTTGTATCTCTGCTCCATCTCTAACAGGCTGTTTGATTTTACACAGTTTATTTAACCTCTTTGAGTCTCAGTTTTCTGATCTGTCAACTAGGAAATAAATACAAGCTCAGAGGGCTGTTGCTGCAACCAAGTGAAACATACACCGTCTAGTTCTCAGCCAGCTCCCGACCAGCTCACAGCCCGAATGCAGGTAAAAAGCAGAGTCCCGCCCTCTCGTAGGCCCAGGTACAGTGAGCTAGGTGGAAGCCAAGGAGCGCTAACGTGAATTTAACATTTCCTCCCTCCATTCACACAACCCTTCCCATAAAGAGATCATGGTGCGACCCAAACATACATGAGGGAGAGAGAATGCCAGAGAAAACCAGGACAGTTGGTAAAGGGTACTTCAGGCCAAGGAATGCAAAGTAGGTTATGTTACAGTCTTAATGCTGTTATCATCCAACCTAGTTTTAAAGTGTACAGTGCTTCTGTGTTAATCTATCTTCCTTTTAAAAGTTTTGCAAATGTCAAGTCCACCCCTGCAGAAGTCCCAAAGGAGAAGGAATAAACCAAGGCTGTTAAGAAACTGTCGAATCATGTGAGCAGCTTCTCTCATGGAAGGATTTCCTCCTGTGCCTCGATGGAAGCGCTGGCTGACTCGGTATTTCTCACAGGCTGGCCTCACTCGGTGTCTTCCCTTCCCTCGTTCCTTTGTCCCCCAAAGACAGCAGCTTCAGCCTATCACTTTGAACGCTGCCAAGGACTGCAATTTAGCACACATGCACATGAGTCTTAGGGTACGAACGCCTGCTGAAACTGTGCCCGAATTTTACTGGGTCCCCCCCAGCGCAGCCTGGAAAGCATCTTCCCACATGAAGGTGACCTCGCACCAGTAAGAAAATATCCCCCCACTGTGCATTCATGTTTCTGGTATCATGGGTACAACACCTTCATGTCAGAGACTGGAAATAAACATTCTTCCCCTACCGTGGACGGCCCTGCTCAGTCTATCAAAACCCGCAAGACAGACTGATACGTTCAGTCAAGCATGTTCCACTCTTACCAGCCAGGAAAGCTGGTAACTTCTTCCCGTGCTCCGGTCTCCTACTCAGTACACTTACATCAGCAGATCTGTAGAACTCAAAGGCTCTGCCTTCTCCGTTGCCTCACCTTCTACGTCACCCCAAAGGTCTGGGATGGTACTAGCTCATCACAGTCTCCCCCTTCCAGTGACTGGTTGGTTGGCTGGTTGGTTGGTTGGTTGGTCGATTTTGCAGTGCTGAGAATGGAATCCAAGGCCTTGTGCATGCTATCAAGGGTTCTATCACTGAGCTACCTCCCCAGTCTTCTGGGGTTTAATATTAAGGTACATAATGTAGTGGAAAGATTGGGGCAGGGTATCAGTAGACCGTTGTTTCAGTCTCGGTTCCTGGTCTCAGTAACCAAGCAAAATCTTCTAGGAAATTAGTTTACTTCCAGGCCACCAGAATAAAGAGACTGACCCACATTTAATGTTTTCTTGGATCTAAAATTCTGACTGTCATGACTCAAGCATTCATAATGTATCTGTGTAATGAAAGACTTTTAAAGTATATCATTCTAACCAAAAAGATAAAAGCAATCCGGGTCATCAACACCACTGAACATGAAGACTGGTGCAGTGCCGATGAGCTCCAACAGACTTATGGTTAGAACCTTCTCTCAGACTTTAAGTAGAGTCAGACTGTTTGGTTACAGTTTATACTGCTTGATAGCAAGCCATTAAGGGCGTGCAAGAGAGGCGATGTCTTTCCAAAAGTGTCTACATTTCTCTAAGAATATCCTGTGTGTGGGAAGAGCCTGGCTCAGCGTCCATGGTTATATGTGGATGGGCCGCGTCTGAATCACTGGCACCAGTGCCTAATACCAAACAAACCCCCTAAACCTCAACGATTAAGTGTTGAGCAAGATATTTAGCAACACTAGAAGTGCTGAAAGTACATTTTATTTTGGCTCAGATACCTAGGGGAAAGGACAGGTTTTCAGGGTAAAATTAACCTTAAGCATCATTTGTCTCCCACAGCGGCCAGACACAGTTAATGAGGAAAACACAAGCCACCCACTCTTGGATGACACATTCACTTCTCAAGGTAATGGAGCGACCTTCTGTGTGTTTGCTGAACATTATTGCTGAGCACACAAGTGAGCTCTGGGCTTTTGGCAGAAGATCTCACCCTGCTCTCCTGAAAAGAAAAGAAAGAGCTCTGGGAGTACACAGGGGGCTCCACACATGGAGGTAAACTCCAGGAGTCTCCTATCACCCCGCAGACTACCCCTGCGGCCAGAGCTCAGGAAGCACCTTCCCGTCTCCTCGTTAGTTAGGATGCACTGCAGCATCCATTCTGGGGGACCTTGGTGCCATCCCAGGGATCAGTGGGTGAGTTAACATCAAGGGTGCTCTTGGTGCCACGGGGTAGAAACAAGGCAAAACTGAAGAGAGGAAATGTAAGGTACCACCCTTAAAAATACCCTTGGGCTCCTGGAATTTCTTCAAAAATTTTAATTCTTAGCTTAAAAATTATATATGGCCAGTTAAAAATTTGGTTGACTTTGGAAAAGGACTTGGTTGATTCCTTTAGTTGATTCTTCTTCAAATTCTATGTTTACATTGTGGGCAGCCTGTCCGTACCTCCATGAGGAAATGCCAGTCCCAAGCCAATAAACAATTGATTCACTTTCATGGATCATGTAGTCAAATCCTGCTGGACCCTGCAGAGAGAAACTGAAAGTATTTTCTGTTTTCAAAAGCTCAGAGTCCATCAGAAAACAGATACAAGGGGACTAACACATGCTTGCTCACACACCGGGGTGCATCCTCTAATGCAGCCCTGGTCAACAGAAATCACAGCAGGCCCAGGGAAGCCGTGCACACAGTTTAAAGTTCCCAGACTGTCACACTGAAAGAGTACAACATAAGCTAGTGGAATTAATAATACATGCAGCCCCGTGTCTCCAGATAGAGCCATTTCACAGGAACATGCTGCTGTTTGATCTTGCATACTTCCACTCTGTGTCTCTGACTCCGATATGATGGTGCACCCCACCCCAGTCTGGGCTCCACACTCCGGTGGCCACTGAGTCGGACAGCAGCACAACACAGGATTGCTGCAGCCCACTGAGGAGGGAGGGCCCAGTCCTCACCCGGCCTTTTCCCGGGAAAATGGGACGGAACGGTTGACATGTGAGTTTGGCCTGTGAAGATAATCAGGATTTTATTAGATTAAGTGGAACTCAGCTTTTTGCCTGATTGTGAATCTGTATTAAATTTGGATTTTTGTCTTTCAAGCTGTGGCCAGGTGTCAGAGACAGAGAGGTCACAGTGTTGGCAAGAGGGAAGCTGTGTCAGAACACCGAAGTGATCTCCCTGAACTCGAGGTGGGTTTAATACCATCTGTGCTTAAACCTCTCAACCTTTCCAGTGCAGCCCAGACCTCTCACCTAAATTCCAGCCTGACAGCTCCACACGGGCCCTTCCACTCTGAGCCCGCAGGGGATTCTAACACAAAGTAACCCAAGCCCAGGTGCCCATGCTTCACACACAGCTTGGCGGCCAGTGCCGGCCGCCACTCTATGGACACTTCTTTTCGCTCCTGTGGCTGAGTCCCTGGGAAACCCTACTGGCCACAGCTCTACCAGATGCAAAGTCAGATTCCTCTCTCGCTCGCTGCTGGGCTGTCCTCCGCCATGGCCACCCTCATGTCACTGCAGAGCCTGCTCTGGCCTCCATGCGCTCACCCTGCTGCCCGAGGGCATTTCCAGGATGGAATTAGGATGGTGCTTCTGAAGCTGAGGTCAGAGCACGTGTGAAGCCTTGTGAGGGCCCCATTCTGCACAGAAGCAATCTCCCCACAGCCCCCAGCAATGCTAAACCTGCAGCAAGATCATTTCCCTTGTGGGACTTTGTGTAAACAAACTGTTGCTTTAGTGAATCTCCACTAGATTGCTCCAAGTATTTTGCAGGGAAATCTATTTCACAACACCCCTTAAAACCAGTGACAGTCTCCTGCCTTGATTTTCTTTCTATGAAATTGTTCCTGGGGCTGAGGGAACACTGACTGAGCGGATCCACTCGTGCTTTCCTCCCTCGCCTCTTCCCTCCTTCTCTGTTCCTGTGCTCCTCCCCCGGGCCCAGAACACGAATATTTGCTCCTGTATGAGCAGCCAGCGAAGCAGTGGGGTCAGAGGACGTGGGGCCACAGTGCGGCTCCAGGCTCAGGCCCACTGAAGCTGCGGTGGAGGGAGCAATGGGCCCAGGGGCAAGAAAGGAAGGAATTTGCTCTGCCAGGAATGGGGAAGCAGCAAGGGCACCTCCTGCAGCAGGCGTCTCCAGAACGCCTCTCCCTCTCCTCCAGTCACTCAGTTCCCAAAAGCCATGCTGCCCTGAGGCTGCAGAAGCAAGCGGGGACAGGGGATGGGCTCCCTCGCATTGTTGCTCAAATATGCAAATAGGACCTAGGCAGGATGCTACCCCTTTCCATCCAGAGCACAGGCAGGGCTTTTCGGTTACTTTTCCTCTTAGTAAAGTAGAAGAAAACAAAGCTCCCAACGTTCTCAAGGAAAAACTCTGGCCTCTGGAGCCCACGGATGATGGGACAGGGCAGAGCTGCACCTAAGTAGAACTTACCCATATGAGGATGTACTTTCCCCGCAATATAATAAGTGAAAGCTATTTCTCTGCTTCCCTACCAAACCAGGCAGTGATCTGCCTCAGATACAACTCAGGGTATTTTCAACTCTCAGACAGCCTCCTTGCATTGGTACAAAGCAGGTGAAGTTAGGCTGTGTTGTACTATCCACTGATTTCTTGGTTTGTGCAAAGCACTCTTGTAGTTCCACGTGTGTTTGACCTGGCATAGCCTAGTGTCCTCGCAGGTAACTTGCTGTATGCGTATCTAAGGAGGTTAAAGAATGAGGGGCATTAGGAGAGCCCGCAGGTGACTCCTCACTGGGCTGAGTTCAGCCTGCCTCAGATGTCACGGTGTGAATCCTCCTAAACATCCAGAGTGAATGCACTCCCTCACCCCAGTGTGCATACAGCTCATAAGCACTGACATGTCTGATGTGAAAAATTCAGACTTTAGCAGTAAATAATGTGATCAGTAGTTGGCAGAATCCTTAAAATACAGAAACAAATTAGTGTTTTGATTAAAGGCCCAAGGATAAAGAACACTGAAGCAAAAGCCCTCCATCTGAAGTAAGAACAGTTGGCACAGAACTAAAACTGGGCTCCCAGTGGAATCACATAGATGATTAGATGCTGTCAGAAAAGGTCTGAGTTTTTGTAAAAAGCTATTTTAAGAATACGCGATCTCATGTTCACATTCTGGGTCTCCACAGCTCGTCACCCACTCCAAGCCTCTACTAACATGTGTCCTGTACCTCAGCTTCCTGCCGTGGAGCCGAGGGGTGTCAGCATTTACATGGCTCATTTCGGCCTGTGGTATGTGATGCAGGCGGCAGCAGCTGGACACGGCGGCATTGTGGGTCTCCAGTCCCGCTCCGTGGGCCGGGGGCCTTGCTAAACCACTGTGTGGTCCGGCGCTCCATGCAGCGTTAGGGGACCGCTCTTCCCAAGTTTTGGATCCCAACAACAGCACATAAAGCTGCCAAGAGCATTCGAAAGGAAAGCAAAACCAACCAAAACAAACAGAATAAAGTCTACTGTTATTTTAAGAAAAAAATCCTGAAAAATTTCTTGACCCAAATCAAATATGTCCGAGGGCGTGGTCAAGGACATGGACATGGGGTGAGTGTGTACACTTCCCCGTGTCAGAGCAGGAAATGACAGAGGCCGCTGGAACCACGCGCTCACAGACTGAACCACACTTCCCAGCGCTTGCTCGGCCCTGGATCCTGTCCTTACTGCTTCCCACTGGCCCCACGCTGCTGGTGTACTGCACTCCGGGTGTGAAAAGGCAAACTTCCGCTCTGCACACTCAGGAAACGTGCAGTGCATGTGTCAGGTGCTTTTCCTGCAAGTCTCATTTCAGATACCTGGCGGCATCTACCCCTCCACACACATAAACACACACACGTTTCAAGGCTACGCATCTAATCTGGGCCCTCGAAAGTAGCCTCCTACGCAAGTCTCTTATGTTAAAAAACTACTCCTAGGGTTTGGGTGAACTCCCTCCCGCTTCATTTCCTGCTGTGGTCAGGAGGGGAGCGCTGTCCAGGGAAGCAGTGTCAGAAGGGATTCGGAAGGACAGGTGCTCCTCACCCCAAAGGGCCACACACACGCATGACACAGAGACACAGAGAGATACCCACGCTCGCACACTTTTGTTCTACTGTGTGACGCTGCACTTTGTCTGTGACTCAGGAGCGTGTCACCCACAGCAGGCTGGAGACACGGCTAACAACCCTGTGACGCGTCCCGCACCATCTGCACGCACACCTGGAGCTTCCCCTTTCTCTTTTCTCCACGTGACTGAAAGGGCTGAGCCCTCCGGCGGTGGAACCTGGACTGTGGTCTGCAGGAGGCCTTTGGACCTGTGTGTGTCTGGGAGCGGGGAGGGGTAAACACTGTCAACCACGGCTTTCCAAAGGTGCATGGTGCAGAAACACCACTGCCATGGAGGCATCCGGAGGTCGCTCGGTGCCTGTGTCAGTTCTGAGAGGCGAGGAGGACGCCCCTGCGCCTCGGTCTGCAGAGACCCAGTTCCCAGCCCTGCTGCCTCTTTCCAGAACACAAGGGCACCTGGAGCTCGACTTTGATTCAGCCATAGCAGTGTTAATGCCTTTTACCACAACGGTTGTTGTTATTTCCTTATCGTTATTTTCTGTTCATCTAGGCTCAAACACATGCTATACTTCATATGTGAATGCATGTGTATATTTACACATAACCATGCAGATGAGCATGTGTGTACGTGTGTGCTGTAGTTACACCCTATTCTTTGTGGAGTGACTATTAAAAGACAGGACATTAGTACTGAGAAAGATAAAATCAGCAAGCATTCTCAAGCGACGCCTGCCATAACGTACCAATGTCACACAGCACACACCCTGCTAGCTCCCTTTCACAGATACGCGCAGCACATTTTCTCCTCTCAAAGCATGAAATACAATGGAAGCCATAAAACCCACTCCAGCCTTTCCAGTGGTGATCCTGTGGGCAGACCATGAGCTGTTGGTGGTAGAACATGGTCCAAACCACTTGGAGAGAGTTGTATTCATTGATGTTTGCAAGTACTCCGTCAGAGACCTGACACACAGTGCAGCCTGGAAGGCCCGTCTTAATTTTTCTCCTGGCCCCTTCCATTGCCTCCATTCCCAGCATGTGTGCGTTCTGTGTTTTAAGGGGTGGTCCCACACTAAGCTTGTATGAATCTACCTTACCGTGACACCAACTGCCTAAAAAGGTCTCTGGACCTCTATCCATTACCTTCTTGGATCCAGAAGTCCAACTTACAAGAATTTTGACTAAAATTAATTAAGGATAAGTCTAAAGGAAGTTGTTTATAAATATGTTCATTTTAGTTCTATTTATTACTCAAAACTTCGGTTAGAAATCAAGGTATTTAGCAGTAGAGAACATTTAAGAAGTTGAATGCCAAACAGCTATTAAAGGAGGTCGAGGAGTATGTTGCTTGCCATGAAAAATGCATTAAGAACAGACACGAAGCACCATGCACCCCCGGACCCTGGTTTTCCACAGTTCTCAAAGGGAATTTATTACAAGGCTGTGCAGAACATCCCTTACTAATCCTTCAGCCTGGCAGTGAGCTCCACTCAGGTTGGCTGTTGGTGCTTTCTAATTTGTCACTGCCCAACACTCTGATCATGTGGTGAGCTGAGAATCGTTAATTCACAGGCAAAGAACAGCTCCCCAAAGTCCACCCTGCCTGGTCCCTTCTGCCTTGCTTTGTTGGAGGACATCCCGGACAAGTGCATTTAAGAGGAACCGAGCATAACACAGAGTGCCCTACAACCCTGTCTCCTTCTGAACAGATGCACTTGGGAGACCTCAGACGCCCACATGCATCACAGGCGAGCAGGATGGGTGGGGAGGACAGTGAGACCCCACACCATCAGCGCTGTGCAGGTTCTCTCTTCTCAACCACTTGAGCCATGCACACTGCACAGGACTGTCTGATCTGTTTATCTGATATAATGGGAATCAGTTCCCAAAGAGCCACTTAGAACAAGTTTGGAGCCAGCTTTCCTTCACGTTTCATTATCTGGTAACATTATAGGCAACTGGATACAGACCTTGAACGGCAGGGGCCGAAGTCGCATGGTAAACTGACACCCAGCCGTCTCCCCGCGTGTGGACCCGCACTCCCGTGCAGCAGTGTGAGCTCCGCTTGACGGCAGCGTCACTCCTTTGGCTAGCCAACCTGAACAGCCCACAGTGGGTTGAGACGTACCCCACACGCTGAGCAGTAGCTTCATATGGGATTGAACTTAGACGCGAATGTGAGGTTTTGCTGACAAATTTCACCTGCCTGACTTTAACTCTGGCTGTTCATAGCATCCAGCAGTTACCTTGAGTCCCAGGGACACACACACCTGCAGCCGTGTCACAGTGACCCGTCAGCCACACTGCGTGTCCTCGCCGACACAGCAGAGAGCACACACACGTGAAACCTGGCGGAGCAGGGACGCTGGCGGCTGCCCCTCCTCTGAGCCTGGCCTGCTTAGGAAATGGGCTCTGACCTTCGGCTACGAAGAGTCACCCTTGGCCACCTTCTCAAAACACTCCCTCGGGAGCCACTGTTGTGACCTCCACACAGAGGTCTCACTACCTCCCTCCGCGTCTCTCCCGTCACTGAGATGCCACGATTAGGAAAGATGCAGGGAAAGATTTAAATGCACAATCTTTTCTTTTTTTGTTGGTTCAAAATAAATCGAGCTTGCAAATCCTCTGTCTCCAAGTCAATAGCTCAGAAATGTAGACAACTGCCTGGTAGCTTTATTAATAATATCTAGAAAACTGAAGGAACACTGTGGCTTAAAGTCAGATGTCAAGCGTTGTCCGGTTTTAGACACGAGCTGGGTCACACACTCAACTGGGAAGTGACAAGAATGTCTATCAAGGAATTTGCTAAATGCCTCACTTGAATTCTCCGCCTCATTTCCAGCAAACAGCTCCTGTTTCCCCACATTCTGTGATTAATAATGAGCTCCGGGTTTCCTGACAATGTGGTGGGTAAGAATTTAACTCCAGCCTTGCAGCCCAGTGCTGGAAGTCAAGCATTCAGGAAGCCTTGCATCACATGCCTCAGTGAATCAACTCAGGTTCTAAACTGGTCCCAATATTCAAGTGGAGCTTATTACTAGGAATTAGATATTGATGGTAATTCTTCCGCTGTCTCATGACTCCTTGTGGGCCACCTTTGTGATTGGTTGTAATTACTAAGTTTCCGGAGGTGTGACGTATCTTACAGCGGGCACACTTCCAACCGCAGAGGCAGCGGGCCCGAGTGTGCTCCCATCCTGACTGCACCTTTAACGAGGGGTCTGGCTAGAGACTCCTCTGCCTTAGCTTCTTTTATCAACAGTTTCAGGCCTGGCAACGGGCTTAGCAAGACCCAAAACATGTGGCTTTGGGGTTGGAACAAAGCCACAGAAAGCATGTTTTCATAAGGACAAGATGTCAGAAAGCCAATCCTCCTTGGTTTTTTGCTTGTGGTATGGAATGTACCCCAAGACCCAGAGGAAGACCCACATCCCCAGAGGAAGAGCTGCACTATGGTCCCCAAGTACCTTCTTCCAAAGAACAAGAATTTTTATAAGTTCTTATTACAGGTTCACAATGTCCTTCATGTAGTTATAATTAAATCAGCCAAACATGATCTGCTGGACGTGAAAACAGAAAGCTGGGTAGCAGTTGAAGTCACAAATAGTTTTCCGTGAACTTGAATGTCTTGCAATGTTTGCATAATCTTTTCTGGGGCAACAACATTCCACATGCATACTTCTCTTTAAAAAGAAAGTCCATACTCTGGTATTCTGGGTTCAAGGCTTAAGAGAAGGCATCTCAAGTCAAAAGTCCCGTCCTAAAAACCTGAGGTGCAGAGGTCACAAGCTTTTTGACTTCTCTTTTGCATTACTTACAGATGACTTAAAGCCACATTGATACAAAGTACAAATTTACTTACATCTCTGAAACTGAACTTTTAGCTATTTAATCAAATTTCTCTGCAAAGTCGTCTCAAATGTTTAAGGTCTCTACAAACAAGATAAATCATTATATGTAATACTGAGCTAAGGAGAAAGTGAAATGCACTATAAAATCTGCTTGCATAATTTTGCTCAAGGTCTGGAAATAAAAATGTTAAATGTAGCCTAACACATTTGTGGCATTTTTCCAAACTACAAGTCTCAAGTGTATATGATGAAACATTTATTTTTAACAAATAGAAATGTAAAACCTAGAGATCCACACATAAAAATGAAAATCTCTAAATTATATTTATTTTAAACATTTTAACTTACCAGAAGCCTATCCGAGACAGCATTTAAGAAACAATATTTTTATGATGGAAACTTTTGTTTTTGTTTTGAGCCCATGAAAGACACACTAAAAATTATAATGTTTCCTCAACCAACTAGAGTTGTACCATATGTTGCTTTAATTTTGCAAATTCAAATATGTGTTTAGTGTCACGACTGTATGGTGACTAATAAAATTTACATAATAACATTTATCACACATGCTCTGTGATAGATACACATTCCTTAGATTACTGCACATTAATATATACTTATCGTTGTATAAAGGTATATATACCAATCTCAACTTCCTGTGTAAGATACTCCCACTAATCTTAGACAGAAATGACAAAAGTATCTGCACATGATTACGTCTTACCTTTACTTGGAAACAAAGGTACCTTCACTGTGATATGCTGTAAAGAGTAACAGCCAACAGAGTTCTGCTAAAGAATGTGATAATCTAGTCAACCAACAAGCTATGCTGCCCCTGTAAGAGGGAATTAGCCATCACCAGAATAAATTATAATTTGTTATTAGTTTTCACTTTCACTATGTGAAAGTCAACTTTTCACATAGACTTCTTCATGGCTGCTGAGGTGACATTTGACCCTAATCACTCCAAATTAGTGTCAGTAAGAGGACATTTAAAATGATAAATAAAGTTTTGCCAACACAGCATCTTATCTGCAAGGTAGGTTACAAACTACAACCACCACCTCTTCCTGGTAGTAGCTTCAGTTATCCAAGACCCTGAGAGCTGTGGAACTCAGCGGCTGGTTTCAGGGTTCGCAGCAGAGATGGTGGTTCGCAGCAGAGGTGGCGGTTGTAGTTTGTAACCCTGAAACCAGCAGCTGAGTTTCATAGCTCTCAGGGTCTTGGATAACTGAAGCTACTGCTATGGAGACGAGGCTCCCTACCAAAAACAAGCCACTTCTTCACCGTGTGAGGTGTGAACCACTCAATGTGCCTCTCAAGAAGACGGATCTAAAAAAATCACACACGACTCCCAAGAGGGAAAAATCCCTAAGAGGACATTTTCTTTGGACCTTGATGTCCTAGATGGAGGACAATCAGTGAGTAGATCTGTTTCAGGTCTTTTAAGCTGTTTCTTCAAGAAAGGTAGACCGACCGGGAATCAGAAAATAAGAGAAGAACATCTGATTTCTGCCTTGTCCAGTAATTAGTTCAGAGTCTCTGAAGCCAAAGACCAATTAGCCTTTGACAACGGCTCGTGCCCGTGAGCAGCCGCAGTCCCTGGACCTGCGGACGTGGATCTGGCCGGCTGCTGGCGGGAATCCAAACAGTCTGCTAACTGATTCAGTGGGCTTCTGTGTATGACCAGGTTGTAGCATACAAATACATGCGGAAATAAATACTACATCGATTTACTTCTGAAATTCTGATAACTATTTTTTTGCAATGTATTACACAAAAACTACTACTGGAAAGTAGGACTTGTGAATCTGGCTTGTGATGTTCATAAGTTGCATTCATCAAAGATTTATGGCTGTCCTTGTCAGCAGAAAGTCTGAATTTTTGACCTAATTACAAGCTAAAATGCTGCTAATTAAGGAGCAGAAAGTCATAATAAAGTTCAAAATATTTTGTAAATGTTTCAGTTGGACAAGACAAAAGATGCCATTT